TGAGATATTACTTCACATTACTTGAAAAATCTTCACTTGACTCATCATTAGAAGAAATTTTGAAAACTATTTTTGTCCGATTCATATACCTTATTTTGACCGCAAACAGTCAATATTCAACTTCTCAAGAATGTCGGTCTAACAACTTAAAAGTATATGTCTTTTGCGATAATAGATTTTCACAGTGCTCGATTTCGGGCGAAACGACGGAACGGCATTCCAGTACTTCGGGAATAATTATTAAATTATATTATACCTAAGGCTGTCTGTGGTCACTAACTTCACAGAACATCACACGTTTCTCGGATTCCTCTGTTTACAGAACTATCTCAGAGAAAAAAGGCTGTTCAGTTTCAGGCAGACCCCAGCAGTGTCAATTATTTATAATTAAACCTAATAGTCGCATTTCGTCTGAAGACTTTCATTTGAGACCGTATGGGTGTTTCTGCGATTCAAAACATGACATACGTTGCATGGTTGCTTTGTTTAGACGTCACGATGCGTCGTGCCATTGACACCCCGTAGTTTGACCAGCCAGTCCGACGGGCTGCGGGCTGCCTAGGTTCTCTGGTGAACAAACTTTTTTTAATGTTATTTATTTGTGTCCCACTTTGAAATTTGTCGTATCTATACAACATTAGAGAGAAATACGTGAGTATTTTTTAAAATTAATTTAAGCGTCTATCTTATGCAAATTTGTATTTTAAAAATTAAAATATATTTAAACAATATATTTACAAAAAATAAAATTACATCACATGAAAGTATATCGTTTTAAGTTTATTTAAAGGGAATTTTATTTTTCTGAAGGAAACGGTATTGCCCCAACAAATTTTAAACATAATCGCGCGCTGGGTTCTTCAGAAAATATAATTAATTGGTAATATTTCTGAAATGGGTGAGATTAAAAGAAAAAAGTCACCTATTTTCAACCTCAGACCTCATAAAAAGTGTCAAGTCACTAAAAAATAGTGATGTTTAGTGAGTGTGCGATTTTACGTCGAAAATCCGTTACCATCTGAACTGAACCTCCAGGATCAGAACTCCTGGTCAGCGACACTAAAAAGACAGGCGCATCACAGTTGGAAAGGCCAACAATGCTCATATAGCTGATCGTGTGAAAATTCGCGTTTTTCCCCCTCTAGCCACTGAATCATAAGTGAAATGAAAATTATCTAATTCAGCAGGTGCGGCGGTTCCTGCATTCCTCTGGAACTGCCTGACGGAAATCCTCTGTCTGGCTGAGGATCCGCGATTGGTCAGGCATCAACAAATGGATGCGCTGGACAAAATAAAACTCATACTTTCATACAAATGGGGCAGTTCGAACATGATTCCTTCTTTGAGTAAGCTGCCCTGTCCCTTCCCTTCAATCTTTACAAGTTACCAATTCACCACAGAACTCCAAGTGACGCGTCGCCTTAGAAATTTGCTGAAGTTGGTCAGTTCCGAGAATGGCACGTCCCATCTGTATTCGTATGTATATCTCAAACACAATTTCACAGGAGCCCAAATGGATCAACCGCGAATGTGAGTTGTACGATGAATATTGTAATTATTTGTATTTTGTTATTCTGAAACCACCACGTGTAAAGCCTCAGGGCTGATCCGTGAATAAATAATAACTTAGAAGTGGTATTTTTTATTATATTACAAGTTGATTTAGTTCGACTACTTGAGTTTAAAATATTCGGAAAATAAACTGAAGGCATTAATTGCTCTTTCTGGCAAGATTCAACTAAAAGATCAATGTTGAAATCTCCGCATACCGCAATGGATTCAAAGGAGCGATTGCTGACTTTGTTTAATGTAATGTAAAGTTTTTCTAAGAACGTGGTATAACCTACAGCTCTTTTTGTTGTAGACTATAGATGCAAAGTAAGATAATTTTTAACATCGGAAGATATAGAATAGATGTTTCAAAAAACATTTTCAACTGAATACACATTTAATTCCGTTAAGGAGATAGAATCAATATAATTTCTTATGTAAATACAAGATCCCCCATATGTAGAACGCTTAATCGATTTCTTTCCTCCAAAATAGTAACTTGCAAGATAGAAATTTAAAATACGGAAAATGTTAAGTTAATTACGAGGTAATCAATACCGCAAATAATATCTATTTGATTTAAATCGTTCTGTGGAGCAGTCTCTGCTTCTCTCAATTCAGCTAAATTTTAAGGAGATAGAACATCTTAATGTAAATCTTTTTCTAGTATCTACAGAAGTCGTTTTGCTGCATTTGACTATGACTGCTACACATTTACTCCATTTTTACCCCGAGTGCATGGTCAAAGATTGTAACGTCTCCCAGCAGTGACACGTTTATTAATGGATATAGAGGAGTACCTGTGCCAGCTTCCACCGAATGTTAGCATGAGCATCAATTTATTTGAGACAACGATCCGCGGTAAATTCTGCATTCTTAAGAGAGTCAAATTAAAAGTTAAATTACCACAATTTTAACATTTTTGGTATTAATTAAATTTTTAAATAAACAAATTAAGTCATTAGCGTTTATCTGCCGCCGTTACTTGGGTACAACAAGGACTTGCAAAGTTAATTTTATTTTTTGTTCCATCCATTTTGATAATTGATTTCAAGTGAAGTTTCGGAGGCGACATGTTCCAGGCCGCAGTAACACATTAAACAGACGTTATTTCCTGACATCCATTTTTGCGACTTATGGAATACCGGGGGTTCCCCCCCCCCCGCCACCGCCGACTATGGCGCAGCTAGGGTCTCCCGCCGTCAGCATTGGGAAGTTTGTATTTATAGATTTTTCTTGGAAATTTTATCCGAACACACAATGAGTTAGAGAATAAAATAGTAGTCACTTTATTGATACCAAATATACATACAAACTGTTACCATCATTAATGTTGAAACTTTTGGATTTCACAGATATTACAAACCATTTAATTGTATCACAATATTTAAAATACATAATTGAAAACAAACAATTACAAACATTACACTACAATATTGAAAATTGAAAATGTGGAAACACTTGTAGCTCAAGTACTCCTACAAAAGTTCATGACAATATCACTTTCAAATTTCACATCATTCCAAACAAAATTTAAATATTTTCGCTCCATTTTAACTCAGTAGCTCTGAGTTATTAATTGCGTTCATAGAAATTATAAATTAGTCATAGATTATTTCTTGAATGTTTTTTCGTATGATGGAAATTATTTCCAACATAAAAAAATGTTATTTCCAAACTTTCTTTAGTTACACAACACACATTTCAGTAATAAAAAACATTACATTTTTACTATCTTACTTAAGACATGAAAACTTATTTATTTAATAAAAAAATTACAATGACACATAAAAAGTATTTTCCACATTTTTCAAGTAGTAGTTATCATTCAATGAACATTTAACAAGATTAATGATATACTATTTAAATTCTTAAAGATACAGCAAATATTAATGTAACTAAATCGGTAAAAAATATGCATGTTAGTATAGAATTGAAAACAATTATGAACATTACACTAAAATGATAAAAATGAAAATTTGAAAACATGGCTCAAGTACTCTACAAAAATTCATGAAAATGTCAGTTTCAAATTCCACAATATTCCAAGAAAAATGTAATTATTATTTTAGCTCCAATTTAACTCAATATATCTGAGTTAACAATAGCATATACAGATATTATAAATTTATGAATAAAATATTTCTGGAATAATTTTTCAGATGATACAAAGACTTACAGTATAAAAAATTGCATTTCAAAAATTTCTAAGAGTTATACACAAGTCAGTAATGAAAACCATTACATTTTCACATCTTACTTAAGAATGAAAACTTGGAATATATTTTCAAAAAATTTACATTGACTTACAAAAAGTATTTTCCATGTTTTTCAAGGTATGATTCAATGAACAAATAACAAGTTCAATGATATAATATTTAAATTTTTAAAGTATAGATTGATACAATTACATCTCTAGTTAAATAAAATTGCAATATTTTTATGAAAAGTATTTAGTGAAAACAGAACACTCAATACAGTGACTATAACTATAGCAACAACCTGCAACATGGAATCAAAATGTACTTAGAAACTGTTTTTTTATTGAAGATTAAACTTTGTGTTTCCACAGATATTACAAGCCATTAAATCATGTTGAAACATCAAAAACACAGAATTGAAGACACAAACATTACACTAGAATATTGATAACTGAAAATTGGAAGCGTGTATCAAGTATGTCACAAAATTTTATGAAATTATTAGTTTCAAATGCCACATCTTATCAAACACAATGTAATCTCATAAATGACAAATTTATTCACAAATTATTTCTGGAATTGTTCATCAGAAGATAAAATTAGCTCCAAATAAAAAATGATCTTGGCAAAAACTATTTCAAATATTTCTTTACATATACAATACACATTTCAGTAATGAAAATGTTATTTCTGTTAGATTACTAAAGTATACTAACTTCCCCTTTTTAATACGCTAAAATATTAAAATGTCACATAAAAATTCTTGTAAATATTTCTAGTAATCGTTCAAGAACCTGCAATGGACATTTAACAACATAAATTTTATATTTAAATTCTTAAAGATAAACATTATTTCAATACAATCTATGGGTGTTTAATATTTCAATGCTTTTATTGAAAATATTTTGGAAACAGAACATTTAATAATTGCAACTGCAATGAAGACTTACAAACATAGTTTTCTTAGTGATATCAAAATGTACTTTGAAACTTACATTCACTTAAGATTAAACTTATATTGAAAAAAATTACAAACCATTGAATCATATCAAAATGTCAAAAATACAAAACTAAGAAAAAATTAACAACTACAATATTGCTAACTGAAAATTTGGAATTGTCTTTCATTAAAAAAATCATGAAAAAAATTTCATGTCTCACTTCATACCAATAAAAATTTAGGTACCATTTTAACTCCCTCCTTTGTTACTGATTTCTATAATCAGATCACATCACATTTACGTGACATTACAACTCATCATCATCATCTTGGTCTTCATGGATTCTGGTCAGTAGAATCAGTAATGGATAATGCTTAACTGCATTATATTTGTTATATTTTTCCATAAACAAGTGTTTATCCCAAATGATATTATTGTACTGAAGTTCTTCAGTACAACGAAAACCTTTGAGAAAAGCTTCTTTTTCAAACTTCTCGATAATGTTGTCCCTTTTAGGTGCAAAAATAAATGCAACACCAGTATCTTTTAGTGCTACCGTAAGGGTTTTAAGGAATTTTGATCTATTTCGCTTAGAATATAAGCAATCTGCAGCAATAATGACGTCCACTTTAGACCGAACATCACGAAATCTTGAATTATTCACACCCCATTCAAAAACGGAGCATATTACTCGCATATGTAGATCATTCCGTCGTAAAATCTGACTAACATTCTCAACAGATTTTACATTTCCATCTGTTAGTTCTATTCTGGAAGGCGCTGAAAATTTAGCAACTGCTAAACCTGCAAGGCATGTCATTCCACCACCTAATTCCAAAACAGATTTTCCATTAAACATGTTTGGATTATGAAGTAAGTAGAATGCTAATGCTTGCTCAGATGGCCAAATGCACACATTTCCAGAATTGTCAACTCCTTCAAAATCTTCAAACGTTAACTTCTGCTTGAGCTGTCGTATTATGAAAGAGTGTGTGCCATTTGTTGTAGTAGTTGTATATTCGAACCAGTCGCCGTCCGGATCGGGATGTTGATCATTAATTTTCTGGACCGTAAAAAGTTCGTAATTTATGAAAAGCTGACCTAAATTGCTAACGCCATCAAAGGAGCCCTCTCTGAGTATCTTCATCACCACTGTTGCCAGCATTTTCCATCGTTTAGATGCTGAATTTTCTCTATAAATATCATAGGGGATTTTGAATACGTTTTCATCATTCGAGGAAGACATTGTCAGTGGTGCTGGGAATATCTAATAAAATGGGTCTTCTTTTGCACAAATTTTACTGACTTATCTACCGCAGCAATTTGCTGAAAGGAAAAAAGAATTCAAATATTAAATTAAGTACAAACACTATCTGATATATTTTACAAAGGCAATATTTAAATGTTGTAATACTTCATGGTTAATAAAATTTGGCTGATTTCGACTTCGCTATTATGTAATATAACCCACTGGGTCAAAATATTTTTACGCCATGATATAACCAAGCATATTTAAGTGAAAATGACCCGTGAAAACGTTACCGAATGCAGTGTTTTAGTTTCGCGTTTCGGAATAGCGAGGATTCTCACGATAATACGAGTTAACACGCTACCCACAATGTAAGAATATCAGCTTAACTATGTATGAGGCTTGGAAACAGCAGGACAGAAGAGAGAAGGAAGGCGATCACACAGTAATTTTTAGCAACAAAGGATTTTTTTGTGTCCGTCCGTACAAAAATGGCGCCCAAGCAGTTCTTAGGATATTCCCTGAAATCGATATTCCTGATTAATTTGTCGAACATGTGGCTCTCTGAATTTAAAAACCGTATCTTTGTTCACTCGTGCTATTTTACATGAAACACCTAGGATAACGTTTTTTCTTTCACTTTTTGGGTCGAATAAAGCAAAAGTATAAACAATTAATATCATACACGTCTTATTTTCATTTAATCTTTTGAAATTTCGAAAATTTATTCATCCATTTATTTGCGTATTTATTAAATTACTTGTTTCATTCAAGAATAGACAAGGCTAAGATTAAATTCTTTACTAACACAATAAATTATGAAAACAAAAAATGTTTCAAAAATTTTATTTCCACTTCCATTTGTATCCACTGCTTTACCTCTGTCCTATACTTTATTGCATTTTCTACCTTAATTTATCAGACACGCTCTTATACATCCGAATACCACGACAGAAAGATTTCGTATTTCCGAGAGCGAAAGCAAATACGCAGACGTGGCCAAGTGCAATGACGCTGAAAAAGTATAGATTAGGGGCACACTAGTTAATAGCCGGCATTGACGGCGTCGTTAGCCGAATTCGTTTACTACGCTCCGTGAAGTCACGGAGGTTTCTCGAGACTCGCGAGTTCCTGGTTGTGTGACCGGATAGGAGCCCCGGGATCTAACGGCGTCGAGCCACTGACCGAAGAGATAAAAGGCAGTGACTGCGACGTGACGAAACGTGACAAAAAAAGTACATGAGGATTACTTCACGCAAGCGCTCAACGCCCAAGAAGGGTTTAAAAGACGCGTTACGTCAATGACGTACCACATTTTTATAAAAAGGTATAATCAGAGGCACTGTGTGAGTGATTCACAGTACATTAAAGAGAAACATCAAGATCAAATTAGAGATGAGCGAGTGTCGTCCAGCGCGGAAAAATCGTTGTAAACGCAACTTTCCTTGTTTGTGCAATAAAACAAGGCTCCGGTATCAGCAAGGTATAGAACAAGTGCACCTATACATTGGAAAAGTTTCTTCTTACTTTCTTTAGTAGAGATATCGCAACATTTTCCTCCATCACAAAAAAGTCTTTTTCGTGGAAATATCGTTTTTCCTGGAGTAATCCTGTAATACCGTTTTTCCTGGAGCCCTTAACTGTCAATTGTAGAACAAGTTATAATTGATAGTTGGTACATATGTTATTTATTGAGTATTAATAAGGATTTTCGACACCAACTAGATAGGCAAGTCAAATTAAACCGTTGTCTGAAGGAGAATTCTAGAGGCTGGCTGCTCTGATCGGTAGCTTTCCGTGGTTTCTGCAATTAAGACCAGGCAAATGTCTGAGCAGCACCCTAACAAATACGTCACGGACCGCGCGCGATCATTTCCTCCTCTTCCTTGTCCTACACTACCCTCACTTCGAAACCCACACACGCGTGCACACACACGCGCGCGCACACACACACACACACACACGCACGCGCACGCACAAACACACACCCGCGCACACGCACGCACACGCACACACCCGCGCACACGCACGCACACGCACACTCTCTACCATACATGCCGGGAGATCAGTCGGGGGCTTACAGCCTGCCCAGTTGGGGCGCTGCCCCCACTGATGGGAGATACCTGGTCGTGGAAACCCCTCAAGCCGAGGTGTTTGTCGGCACTGGATCGCGCTTTGCGGTGAAATTTAGCTTTAGTGGGAGACTGACCTTCGGCAGCAGAAGACTGACTCGTGTTCCATTCATTACAGCACGACATCGCCTGCAGTGCCTCTCCTGGGCTCGTGGTCATGTCGATTGGAATGTATTCGACTGGAAAACCGTGGCTTGGTCAGATGGTAAGATTTGATTGTATGGTTAGAGTGTGGGCACAGACCTCACGGAGACAATATACCTAGTAATACCTAGTAATATACGTGGATAGTGTTACTACAAATAATAATTCGGAAAATCGATTTCCATATTTCGAAGGAAATACACGTTTTGGGGTCCCTTGATACTAGAAAAATATTTTTTTCTTTCTTTTCAAAACTTCCATCTGTCCGTGAACACTAGTAGTACAGTCGAAAGGTATCTGACCCAGGGGAAAATTCCGGAAGGTTTTTTTTCAACGGTTCTATATGCTTTTGAGGAGGCTGAATTTGAATTTCAATTTGGATTTGGATTTGGATTAGATGTTTGCCACACCAAAAAGGTCGTCTTTACAGAAAAAATGACAAAAACACTAAACATTTCGCCCTTTTCTTCGTTTTTCGCTTGTATCTTCAAACCTATGCGTTCCATCGAAACAGGTGTTACTTACAGAATGAAACTAGATATTATTTCCCTCAAAAACATACATTATGTTTAATTTTCTGAAAATCGGGCCAGACGCTAGATCACGCTGAAAAACTTACGTTTGGCCCTCCGGCCAAAGCGGGAGAGTAGACCTTTCCAGCCATCCTTTCACGCGGGGCCCTAGTAACACCTTACCGTGCTTGAAAATAACTATTGTGAACCAATAATTTGCATTGTGAAATTATTAATACTCCTATACTCACATAATCAATAAGGAAGTATTTGCTCGCGCGGAGTATCAGTTAATCCAAGCCAAAATATGACGGAAATAAAATCATTACGACAGTACGTTATATACAACATACACTTATCAAATATTTGTACCAATAATGTTTATTGTCAATATGTGCCAAATTAAGAGTAAAAGTAAAAATAACTCTAAAGAGAAAATTTTAGGTATTAAACAAAAATATTGAACCAGGTAATTTCATAGATGTTTGGAAATGCAAAATTCACACTAAAAAAATAAATAGAGCATCGCTATGGAATAAAACGAGAATACGATATCAGCGAACAACAGCGATTACACCTGAGTGCCTTGTATGGTATTGTTTTTAAATGTAATTTTTGCTTCCTCAATTGCGAATATTAGTTACCTCATCATTAGCCAAACGCTGAGATGAAACAAGATTTCCATGTCAGTGATTTGCCGATAATTATATAATTGTTTAAAAAAACAACAAAGATTATTGTTTTAAAAACCTTACCTTAAAGTAGGTAGAGATCGGGCGGGAACATTTACAGATGTGCAAAGTTTCTGGCTCTACCACATGGAACGTTGCAATGGAGAAAGATATCTGATCTGACCGAGAATGATATTTACTGAGATGCGATACCGGTTCTTATACAAAATATCTCCTGCTATCTCAGCTCCTCCAGCTGTAATTCTAAAGATAGTTTTGATGCCACCACATTATGCGGTCCACGCAAGCTTAGACTACCTCGGCAAATCTCCGACATGAATAAACTGTACAATTTCCAAGAAAATGACAACGAAAGAGAGAATTTCGATTCTCACGCGTAATATGCAGATCATCGTAGCAACTTTTGGAAATATATAACTTTCCAATGTACATTATTCCACGAAGTATTCCATGCGCCAGACCGTGACTGTACCTGAAATATCACTCTACACCACCCCCATGCCAGGGTGTGATCGGTTCTTCAGTGATAACGCAGCCTTACGCGCCAGCGCGAGTTCGGCAGTGAGTGTTAAGTCATAATAGGAAATCATTGTAAAATAATATTTACACGTAATATTTTCAGTTTTATTACATGTGCATAATGATTCGCAGGGCGTGTGCTATTTGCGACTAAACGTTGGAAGATGAAACGCAGACAATTTGTGTGAAAGAAAGGGAGTTGGAATCTTTCGTTGAAGCGAGTGACATGCGGCAGGATGATAAGTATTTTTTATTTAAATGTAACTCACAAATTGAAGTCTACGATAAGAATAAGAGGTAATACGTAAACGAAAAGTTGATTTCTGTTTCCGTGAAGAAAGCTATAAAAAGGTCGAATCACTTCCACTACGTTCATCTATATAATTGTACGACTTTCGAGAAATTGAAACGATGGTTTTGGACTTTTCATAGTACATTACCTAGAGGTAGTAAATGCTGCTGGTGTACAGTATTATTTGATGTGCATGAAAGTACTGCACTAACCCCCAAAGACACGAACACAAATCATACGCTGGCTCTACATAGATGATGACTAATAAGCAATGCAAACTATATTTTCATTTTCTTGGAAATAGTGACGAGTAATATTATTGAATTGATAAATGCGATTGAAGGTGATTTTCTTCCACATCCAAAAATAGTTAAAGCACGTATACCTTATGTTGTGTGTTTTAAGGATTTACAGATACTCTGTACGAGTAAACACGTTCCTTCTGATTCTATGAGTATCGGACTGCTAATCAATTAACAAAGCCAATTATTCGTTGACAATAGTTTTCAAGTATGATAAAGTGTAACTAGAGCGCCGCCACGAGATAGGATGGTTGGACAGAGCTATCTTCCCGGTTTGGACAGAGGCCCAAAAAGTAATTTTTCAGCGCGCTCAAGCGCCTCAACCGATTTTCAGATAATTAAACATAATGCGTTTATTAAAGAAAAATTTATCTACTTCAATTTCGTACATAACAATTGTTTCA